AAATTATTTGGGTCTTTACAGAACCTTAATAATGTCGGAGTTAGTACGGCAGTAATGCTACATTTAAAGACGCATGCGCGAGAACACAGCTTTTACGGGAATCTAATTGGCTGTACAGTGCGCATACGCGAAAACGCGACTTCGCAGCAACACTGCTCCCACACTCCCACCAAACACAAATCAGTCATAGAATGGCGTATGGACTAACCGTTATAGGTCCAAGAGCCACAAGCGCACCAAACCAAACCAAACAAAAATTATCAGAAAAAACAAACTTATTTCTCCTTAATTGTATCTTGTATCTGAGAATTTAGTTGCATAGGTATTTTTTTACAATTGGCATGAAATAATTGCTATAATTTAATCATTTCTTAAGTTATGTACTTATTGAATAACAACTGATTATTTCTAACAGCATAATATAATGATACATATAATACAATAATTTACACATTCTACAAACATGTAGAATTTTATTTTTGCAGTTAAATACTTTAACAAATGTTGTGAGATATAACTCAATTTAGTTTAGTACATATAAATTTCAAGACGTTCAAGAAGTTATTCAGCTCATTTTTCTCAAGTTCTATTAATTTACACATTTTTAATATCATAAAAATTTCTCTTGATATATAAGTTTTTCCCACGAATTTATTTAATCATGTAATTTATTTAATAACTCAATTTAATTACATACTCCGATAGGAAAACAATTATGACATTATGTGACAAAATCTTGCATGAAAATTGTGATTTGTAAATATGTAGATATATTTTGAGAAATATATATAATTACAGATGTAAAAATATTGATCTTTTATAAAATATTTGTAACTGTGTAAAATTAATTTCCAAATATTATTTCGGTAAAACAATAACGATATGGCAATCATCTTAGCAGTAGGTTTGCAAAATTAAATTTAAAAATTTGTTCAATAATTGAGAAAAAAATTTCAGCTACCTATGTGATGTTTAAAACATGTAGAAATATAATTGCATATGAAGAAATTAAATCAATTCATGTATATACTTATAGAAATGCATAACGACTTTTTTCTAATTTTTGACAAATATTATTTACAAAAATTTTATTTTGCCAAAATTGTTGCGTTATGGCGAATCATCTTAGTGCAATCATTGCAAAATTGTCGACATTCATGATGCCATTTTTGTGCAATATTCTCACAATATGCCTATTGGGGTAATCTCGATTCGGACACAAGAATTATTGATTTTTTTCTATTCGATTCCGTTACAAACTAATAATTTTTTTAATGCTATTTATGTGAAAAATCTCTTAATATGATTTGGTAAGGTCACAACTTGTTCCAATACAGCATGAGGAAGTAGCTCTATATTTTCTTAATTGTTATTTACATCGATATCATTCAGATATCGTCAATCTGCCAATGACTAGAGACTACTCGCAAAGGAGGATTTTCTCTGAGCTCGATCAGAAAACTGGAAATATTCTGATAATAACCCGGTTGGCACCAAGTCTCGTTGTGCGTGCCGCCCACAACGGGTAGTAAACGCTTGAATGAGCTTCGGCAATTCTTGAAAAGATCTTCCATCATATTAGGCGGCACGAGCGTGTCTGCCAGACCCGATACAAACAAAGTCGGTACCGTGACTGAACAAATTTTCAGAATAGATAAATACTGCAACGGAGAACAAAGAAGTATGAATGTATAAGAATTTGGAAATGCAAAAATATATAAAAAACGCAAAAGAAGATTCTCTTACATACCTTATTTTTATATACAAAGAGCGGGAGATATTGCAAAAACTTGTATCCGACAAATAAAGCAGCCATATCTGGTATACTAGTAAAAGTATTTTCAAGTATAAGGCACCAAATTCTTCGCGAACTTTCTTCTTTTGCAGCTAAATCAATTGCTACCGCTCCGCCTAATAAAAACATTTAATTTAGATCACTTATAAACTTTGTATACTTTAACCCTTTTACTGCTATTGATGCCTATAGGCACCGTTTCGAAAGCTTGTTCAGAATATATTAGCGCTTATCAGCATTTAAGTAAAAACATGTTTGCCTTGCATGTTCACGTGAGTGTCGATCTATCTTTGTTCTACATTTGATAGCAATGATGAACCGACACTTAAAGCGCGTAAGCACTTAAAGCGCGTAAGCACTTAAAGCGAACGCACTTTCAGTCTTGTCATTTGTTTGAGCTACTGACACCTTCAGGCGTTCAATTGATATTGCTCAAGCTAAAAAAGCGCCTTCAGGCATTCGGTATTTATTATCGACATTTTTATATTAAGGTAATAGAATTTAATGTTTTGACGACTTTTATAATTTTTAATATTTTTTACAGAATGTGCATATCAGTAAAAAATTTCGCTTCTGTAGCTTCGAACACGGCTGAACGTCTACCATCTATTACGCGCGCTCTATTAGGCTTCATCGCAGTAAAAGGGTTAAAAAAAAGAAAAAAGAATATTTCACAAATATTATTTTGATTGATTTTTTTACCTAATGATCTACCAAAAACTATGATTTCATTTGTATTAATATCCGTTCTACTATACAGATAGTCTAATCCAGCTCGAGCATCCATGTAGAGACCCTCTTCTGATGGAGAACCTTGTGACAAACCGTAACCTCGATATTCTAACATTAGAATGTTACACTGAATATTATGATACCATCCTACTATATTTTGCAACCTGAAAGAAAACAAATGTATTTTATATTGATATATATTTTTGTTATGTTTTACAAATAACTTGATTTTTACAAAATAAATAAGAAAATACTTTTTTATATAAATTTATATTCTTGTACAATAAAATAAAAAAAGCATTGAACACACACATATAAATAATAAAATAATTATATATATAAATACAAATTTTTTATAGTAATAAAACAATGCTTTATACCGATGACCCATATTGCCAGCATTGCCATGAAGAAACAATACTGTAGGTACTTTCTTCATTCTATCTTCAGGTTGTGAAACAAAGAACATATGCAGCATTGTACCATCTCCAGCTTTGGTATACACACTCTGATACGGCAAACTGAATAATGATGGAGCTGGTACATAAACTCTAGAATGTGCTGGCAGTTCTGGATAGTAAAGAAGCTGATCCTCTCTGTGATACAGTATTCCTATAAAAATATATAAATTTTCTAAATATGAAAAAAAGCTTTATTTACATGTAACTAGAATGAATACAAACCAGTAGTGGCAAAGCACAACAAGAAGAAAGCTAAGATTCCACCATACAGCCAGTACAAAAAGAAAAACGCAAAAATGTAAATCCCACTGAAAGCCCAGCATTTCATTGCAACACTTCCAAGAAGTCTAACAGGCCTGCTACGGGCTAAACGTATTCTAAAAGACATAATTGCTATGTTTTATCTAGTTTAAATGAGCTCTGCGTTATCTGGGTAGTTCAATTATTTGTAGTAAACAGATTAGTCTTAGTTTAAAGACACTCATAATGATTTATGAGATCAACTGTCAGTCTTTCGTATCCTTTTCCTAAAAAATAAAAACAACTATTCAAAATCATCAGATTAATAAATGCAAAACAAATTAAATACTTTAATAATTACATATATACATATAACAATTAATAATTACATATATACATATGCATTGAATTATTTATTACTTTATTTATTTATTTATTAATAAGCAATTAAAAATTCAATACTTCCTATATTTTTACGCAAAAAATACTTTTTTTTAATACTTAAAATAAAAAAACAAATTAAATGATAAATTAAATTTTTATGTAAACTCACATTAATCAATTTTATTTCTAATGTTTACATAAAAAATTGAAAAAACTTACATACATAAGCTAACCTCGCGTAACCTAACCTGCAAGTAACAGCTAGAAAAAAATACACGATGATCCAATTAAAATGCAGTCTACATAGTAAGAAAAACCTATTGTTTCTTAAAATTAAACGTCTTATAAAGTGCAAATCATCGAATAAATTCGCAATGTTTATAACAAAACGTTTTTCTTGAATGTCATAAAAAATTGTCAAAGAACAATATCAGTTTAGGTTTGGTCAGTGTTGCACAGTGGTCTAGTTTCCACCGAAACTCTCAATTCGGTTTCACTCCGGTACGGATTAAATTTAGTGTTCCGTTTCCATTGGAAGTAGAGTATTTATAGATCGAAGCGAAAGCGAAATCAGTGCAATTCGACGTGTTTCCATCGACTTAAATGTCATTCTACGCCGCAGTAGGTGTGAATTAATGTTTCGGTGGAAACTAGACCAGTGTCAGCAGTGTTGCTGCGAAGTCGCGTTTTCGCGTATACGCACTGTACAGCCAATTAGATTCCCGTAAAAGCTGTGTTCTCGCGCATGCGCCTTTAAATGTAGCATTACTGCCGTACTAACTCCGACATTATTAAGGTTCTGTAAAGACCCAAATAATTTTTCATAATTAACACGTG